TTAAGGTAGCAGAAAAATCATACGATCAACTGACGAAAGATTTGGATAGATTATTGAAAGAAAATGAAGATCTTTCAAATTCATACACTCCAACCATTCCAGTCACATATGTATGGATTATCCTTGGAAGTATAGGAATATTAATTATACTTATCTGCACATATTATATAGTCAAGCATATTTGTTGGAAACGAAGATTTGAAAGGAAAATAAAGAGAAGGTCACAACAAGACATTCCACTTCAAGAAATTCCTCAGAGAAATAATACAGAAGAAGAAGAACCAGAATTAGTCTAATCTGTTGGAAGCTCAACTGAACAAGCTTCAAGCTCAACACAGTCAAGGAAGCATGTTGTTCGCTCATATCGACTATAATTCCCACTTGATTTTGTTTGAATGATTTTTTCATTGGACTGAACTCTTATTTGATTTATTGATAGTCAATTTTGTCCATATATAACTTTAGTTTGTAAGCACCTTTCCTGATAATAACAAAAAAAAAAAGCTTATTTAAAGGAATGTAAACCCCACTCGAATTGATAAACTAAAGTGATTGAAATAGAATAGACATAATATTGAATAGAATAGTCTAGATATAAGACTTAGAGTAGAATTAAGAGAGAGAGAGACTTTATTAGAGATATGTATTTGTTAAACATACTACCTTTAAAATGAACAATACTTTGGTAAAAAAAGAACTTCGCTCAAAAAGGATTTCAATGACCCTAGAGTCATAAAACATTTAAGGAACTCAACCACCTGAACTTTTGTGGTTATGTTAAATGAAATTTTAGCAGAAAAAGAAGTGTGTCAACATACAGGAAGAAGACACCTTATATCATTTTGAACTGCACAGTGAACTTTGAACTGTTAGCAGGTGCTTTTTGAAACAAGAAGACATCACCTGATCTTCTAATATACCTGAATTATTGCAACTATAAGAAGTCAGCCAACAGATGTGCTGCCACAAAGACTCTCACACTGGTGACAGAACTATGTCCACTTTTGCCGTCAATTCCAGACAAAGACCTGTGTTTATTTTAGTCATATTTTTAATCTGATGAATTGTTTAATTATATTATTCCCATGTATTTCAATTTTGAATTTAATTTGCATTATTGTATACTTTTATGAATTTATTATTATGTATAACGCAATTTTTAGAGAGAGAGAGAGCAATTCGACTTTATGTATTGCAGTGAAAAATCACGCCTTCTTTAAATGTTGTGTGATTTTTGAAGATAAGGGAGTAATGTGAGATCCGAAAGGCCCTGGGTCTATTTTATGAATTTTTATCGATAATATTAAATTATCAACACAGAATATTATTTCGTTTTGTGAAAAAAAATATTGTTTTAGACGTGGGAAAAACCAGATAACAAATGTTATTTCCTTTCATCGAAGAGAACATCCTCTGTTTTTCCATATCTGGTTAAAAATCTCGCTCAGATGGGAAATGGTTACCCCTCATTCATCCCCCTTTCGTCCGTTCTCACGAAAGAGTTACTGGACGATGATTGGACGAAATTCAGGCAATATAAAGGAAATCTAGTCCGAATTCGAGGAGTTCTTCGACAGATCCGAAGCAT